CCTCATCCCCTCATTTTTTGAGTTCGCCACCAGCTCCTGTTCTACGGCCAGACGAGCCCAGTTCAGACCCAAATTCAAACCTTCTCAGGATTCACCCTGTTTGGCCGTCAGTAAACAGGGCTCTGGAGAAAACAGCTGCCATGTCCACATCTCGGTCCCTCTCCCTTCAGGGGTCCACAGAGGGATCCTCGGCGGCTTTCTCGTCCCTGCCCCGACTCCTGAGCAGCTGCAGCACTTGCCAGGGTGACCTCGATCAGCTCAGCCAGCGTCACTCACCCATCACGAGACTAGAACCACAGCACTCCCAAGACAGCCTCATTCCTCGGAGCTCAGGATCAGAAAGGCAGTGAGGACACACACAAACACACTAAGGTGGCTGTGCCTGGCCAACGGGAGGCTCAACTAACTACACGCTACAGTTCTTTCTCTATTGTAATCAGTTAACTTAAGGTCCGACACAGTGGCTCATCCCTGTAACCCCCGTGCTTTGAGAGGCCAAGACAGGGGGATTGCTTGAGCCCAGAAGTTCGAGACCAGCCCAGGCAACACAGGGAGACCTCGTCTCTGTAGAAATACAAAAAATTAGCCAAGCACGGTGGCATGTACGTATAGTCCCGGCTACTCAGGAGGCTGAGGTGGGAGGATCACCTAAGCCTGGGAGGTCGAGGCTGCAGTGAATCATGATTTCACCACTGCACTCCAGCCTGGGAAACAGAGTGAGGCCCTGTCTCCAAAAAAAAAAAAAAAGAAAATTATTTAACCTAGCTTTCAGAAACTCGAATGAATGAAAAACTGAATTTAAAACAATCGCATAATAAAATCACACAGTCCCTCAAAGCGGGTGGAACTGACCATTTGTGGGGTGTTTGCCTCACGTGTTTTGGTTTTCAAATTTTGACCCTACACATTTGTTACATATTTACAATCTAAAAAAAGTTATTTATAGCAGAGGACGCTGGAATTAAAGAGAGATTTTCTTCCTGAATGAAAGTGTACATCACATACCACAAGCATCTATGCTTTGTGTGGAAACTTGAAAATAAAGCGTCACAGGGAGATCAACACCAGCTTTGTCCCACATCTTCAGATGCTCAGCTAACTGCAGTGACTGCTCTCAAATTCTCCACCCATTCCCTCTGGGCAAGCGCCAATTAGGTAACGATTAGGGAAAAAAGAAGCTTCAATCCCTCCCATTGCATACCCAACTTTCACAGACTCAAAAATCCAGCTAAAGCTGGTGAAAGAGCAGTGAAAGCCATGCTGGAATCCCCCCTCTGTGAAACAGACACTCATGTTCACGTTCCCAGCGTGAAGGTCAGCCCAGAGCCGGGCTGGACCCACAGCAGCAAAGCCGTGACGCCCGTCACCAGGATTACAGAAGCAATGTCTAGGTCAGAGATTAGTGACTGCCAAAAATAAGGTGAAAGTTGCCCCCAAAGCCAGTGAACACGGGAAAACCTGGGCAGGTTTCCTTCACAAAGAAAGTGAAGAAAGTTTAAGACACTCAGAAAAGCAAGAAATGAGTGCTAAGCATTTCTAACCATTTGAGCTGTATGTTAAAATCTTGTTATTTTAATTACCAGTGCTCAAAATAAGTTGCATGCCAAGGGTTTACAAGAAAAAAAAAACTGAAAAATATTCGTGAGAACTAAGTCGCACAAGAAAAATCAAAACTTGAGAATTTCTGGAAAATTTTAGACATCAAGTTTTAAAAAAATGAAATGCTTCCTGCGTTAGGTACGGATCTTCAGTTTCCCACGTGAATCACCAAGTGTGACACACAAACATGAGGATAGGCATATATTTCTTTTAGCCCAGAATAGCGGTATGTGCCTGTGGTCCCAAGTACTCGGGAGGCTGAGGTGGGAGGATCACCTGAGCCCAGGAGGTCGAGGCTGCAGTGAGCCGAGATCACACCACTGCACTCAAGCCTGGGTGACAGAGTAAGACCTTGTCTCACAAAGAAAAAAACAAACAGAAGAGTATGTTTCAGTATTGTCTCTTGGCAAAAAAACTAAACTAGTCCCAATATTGCCTTAGATGTAATTTAACATCCCCAGTTTACAAAGGGGAAAATGAGGTCAACAGCCAAGACCAAAGAGATAACAAATGCAGTGGTGCGTTCAGGACAATGACTACAATTATAAAACATTCAGTTCAATTTCTACCCTCAGCATCAAGGTAGGGGTTCCTCATAATGGGAATTGGAGGCTCAAAGAAAATTTAGGCTCAACATTAAAAAAAAAAAAAAGCGGATTTTAATGCTGGTGCAATCACAGGAGACTGCGGCCCAGCCATCCTCAGCGCTGCAGGTACTCACGGGCACATCTGGGGTCTTGGCCACGCTAAGTCCGGGCCGGTGGCCACACAGAAGAGGCGATAAAACTTTTTTGGGAGTGAGATCAAAAATGTTCAGTCTAAAAACCTACTTTTCCAGGGGGGAGAAAAGAACGAGAAGCTCTCATTCAGGGTATTTGTAAAAGGCTGTTTCTAGCGCACTGGTAGATAATAATGGCCGGGGCCATCGGGTTAGCGTCAGCGGGCGCCCACCTGGCGGGGCGCACTGGGACTTACCTCAGTGATAGTGTTCAGGGCTGTGTCTGCCCTGATGCTGAAATCGGAACGCGGCACATTGCTAGACACAGTAGCGGGAACCATGATCATAGGCACAACTCCTCGTACTTCTCCCGGACGGCCGAAAGCTCCAGGAGTCCCATCTAAATTGACCCAGTATCTGCACGCTGGCTGCTCAGAGGCCATGGTGTGGAACGGCCAGGACATTGCTTAGTCATACGGGGCACAAGCACCTCACTTGCCACTCCTGTGCTTCTATTTCATCAAACCCTATTTGCTCCTGAATATTGACCATAGCAAAGTCATTAGCCTTGGAGATGCATTTGAAACATCAACTTGCTTTGTTCAAGAGGTTTAAGACACACGTAAGTCTTTCTTGCCATGCTCAACACACACAGCCTGCGGTTTCTGAAGTCAGTGTTTCTGGAACAAAAGCCTTGGCCTGCCCCGTGAACATTCACGCTGAGCACACTGTGGCGAGGCTGCTTGGCAGCCAGCAGGGGGCAGGAGAGAGCCACAAGTGCCACGTGGGGTCCCTGCAAACTGCACCTCTCTCCCTCAATCAAGGGGGGTGCCTCCTGCCCATCCAGCGGCTTCCTCCAAGGCCTTCCTCTAAGGCCTCTTTAGCTGCCAGGGCACTGACTTCAGACTGCTCAGCCAATGGGGCAACAGATTCAACAGAGTTCCATGTTGTTAAAGGAAAACTTCTGTTACCAGGCAACCTTAGTATCAGATTCAAGGTAAAATAACCAACAAGATTGTTTCCAAACCAACATGCTACTAGTGCCTTATCCTTCAATGCTGCTTAAACATGGGGAAGTATGAGGAAAAAAGAGCATGGCACTTACTTCTTAAAAAATAACACCTCTTCCAGGTTCATGTTACCCATATCATAAAGACTTAGAACTGTGGATTCCCTACAGAAACGTGTAGTGGGGGTGGATCCCCACCGCTGACCCAGCCTCCCCCCAGGTCAGTCACCCCCCTCACCACGGGGTTCACACCTCTCCAGACCCTGTCACCTCAGCAAGGAAAGGTGGCGTCTCTGAGCTCTCTTCACAGGTAGCACCCGAACGGGAGCTAGAGAGACACACAGACACACCCATAACTGCTTTAAAATCCTGAAATGCAATACATATTCAAGGACTTCATTATTAGTTTTTTTAAAACTGTAAGAACAGAGTGAGCCTGGTTTTAACCTCTCTGCCACAACAACACCGTGTACATCTGTCTTTTACTGTTTGTTCCTTCTCCAGCAGCTGCTGCCTGGCTGGCCGACTGCAGAAGAAGAGTCTCTGGTACTCCCGGTGGGCCCTCGGGAAAAGCGTGAGCACCACGATCAAGTCTCAGGACGCCGCACACGTTAGGGTCGCCCACAGACCGCCATTCCCAATGCCTAGAAGGCACTGAAGGGGCCTCCTGCTCTTTGTAAATGTCAACTCTCCTAAGCTATGCTGTGTAGAAAATTTTTAACTGCAGTCCACACATACTTTCTTTCTGTCTTGTTTTTATCCTAGAGGCATATTGTTATGGAAAATTAAGTTTGCAAGGTTGAAGGGTTTTCTGAAAGTCGACTTCTAATCCTGGAAGGAAAAAAAAAAAAAATGGGCCAGATGTGGTGCTCACGCCTGTAATCCCAGCAGTTTGGGAGGCTGAGGCGGGCAGATCGCTTGAGCCCAGGAGCTCGAGACCAGCCTGGAAAACATGGCAAAACCCTGTCTCTACTAAAAATACAAAAAAAAAAAAAAAAAAATTAGCTGGGCGTGGTGACATATGTCTATTCCCAGCTACTCAGGAAGCTGAGGTGGGAGGATCACCTGAGCCCAGGAGGTGAAGCCTGCAGTCAGCCTAGATTTGCATCACTGCACTCCAGCTTGGGTGACACAGTGAGACCCCGTCTCAAAAAAACAAAAAGCAAAAACAACTGTATAAAAAATCATTACAGAAGGGAGCTGGCTGGGCACGGTGGCTCACGCCTGTAATCCCAGCACTTTGGGAGGTCGGGGTGGGCAGATCACCTGAAGTCAGGAGTTTAAGACCAGCCTGGCCAATATGGCAAAACTCCATCTCTAATAAAAATACAAAAATTAGCTGGGCATGGTGGCGGGTGCCTGTAGTCCCAGCTACTCAGGAGGCTGAGAGAGGAGAATCACTTCAACCCGGGAAGCAGAAATTGCAGTGGGCCGAGATTGTGCCATTGCACTCCAGCCTGGGCAACGAGAGCAAGAGTCCACTTCAAAAAATAAAAAATAAAAATGAAAATAAAAGGGAGCTAATGTTTTCCATTTAAGGGAAGGGAGAATAACATTCAGTATTTATACATCTCACACACACATCTGCAGTGGTAGCCTCAAGTATTCAAGATACACATTCCCACAAATATAGTTCAAAACTACCCACCAAGTTACACGCTAAGAGCACATGCATTGTAAGAATGCTACATTATATTTTTTAAAAGCATCTGTATCCAATATTGTAGCATACTGGCAGTTTTCCCTTCAGGTGCTGTATGCCTAAATTATTACATGTTTAGTCATTCATTTTAGAATTTATGGCCTCCTTTAGACAAAAGAAATATATTTAAACATAAGCTACTAAATTAATGACTTAGGGGAAAAATTACTAAATTAACTTGGAAGTTAAACTTTGCAAACTGAATTTGTTGGACCTCATGTAAGCTAGACGATCAGTTTTTTAAATTGTTGTGTGTTTCCCTCAAGGATGGAAGTCTCCTCTTGTCTCTCATCCACTGTGCACACCACTGCAGCCCGCACCTGTCCTCCACGGCGCCACAGTGCGGCCTGCAATTCACCCTGTACCACGCCTTCCACACCTTACCTGAAAGTCACTAAGTATAACCAAGAAGGCAATGAAAAGCAGATAAATGACCTCCACCCCCACATCCAGCATGCAAATGTTAAACATTCATCAAAGTAAAACCAAAAACCAAAAACCAAAAACCCATGTTAGCTCAAGATTGTAACTGGTAGAGTTATGTGCATGGCAATTTTAAAAGTCCAGTTAAGTAAAAACCTAATTGAAAGTCTCAAGAAATACGAAGTTTATACAAGAAGACATCTGCAAACATTGACAGTGAGGAGAGGACTTCACTCTGCATCCAGCCTGTCCTGGAAGCCACGGCCAAACGCCAGGTTGTATAGATCTGAAAAGCAGAAAAAAACAACGTTGAAATGTGTACAAGTCTCAGCAATGTACAAATTCGAAGTAGGATGCTCAGAAACCTTGAATTTCCAATCAGAAAACAGGAACATGAGCAAGTTCCCCAGCAGTGCCCACCTTCTGCCTATGGCACATGTAACAGGATCGCTGGCCACCTCGGGGGGACAGAGGCTTCCTGGTCACATTCGCTCTGGCAGCCGCACAGCTGGCCCTGCCACAAACACCTGAGTAATACTGAAGAACCACCCGCTCCCTGGGCTTTGCTCACTCTAGCCGGGAGAGAGTATTTACAGAGTACATTATCGACTGAGCCCTCGTTCAATGCGTCAAGCTTGTTGAAGGCAGTGAACTGAGCAGAGCAAATGTCCCCAGTTGGACGGCACTCAGTCACGACAGCAGCAGCCACTGTTCACAGGGCACTGGCTTCGTGCCGGGAACAGTTCCAAGCGTCTTCTTTCTGTCCGAGGAATGTGCACTGCAACCCTGTGGGGCCGTTTGCAACGTCCACCAGAGTTCTGAGGCAGCAGAGTCCAGGCTGTCTGTGGGCCTTGCCGCTTGGCCGTCCATGTCCCCTGCAGATCAGACCTCACTGCAGGGACTGCGGGTTCCAGGGCTGCCTTGAGGCACATGCTCCCCCTTCGCCACCTCTTCCTGGCCCCTGACACCAACCCTCACCACTGCTGCCAACACTTTATTTTCTCATGGCTCCTGAGGGGCCTGTTCTTTCTGCCCTTCCCTGCTCCCTGCGTCCGGCTTGGAGGATGCCCACATCAACGCCAACGCTCATGTAATCACCACCCCTTCCATGGGGCTTGACGCCTAGGAGTCTCAATATCAGAAAGTCAGATTCCTGTGCTTCTTGGAGAATTTCTTCCCATCGTGGAAGTGAAGGAGATCAAATTCTAGGTGCCTGCAATCACCTCATTTCCACAGCTAAGCAACTTCAGTAGTAGCACAAAACAAAAAAAGCTTTTTTAAACTTCTTTTATACAAGCTAAATACAATTTAATTTTTACATCCACATTCTCATCAGCTCCCATCTGGTGAGCAGGCAAATAGTAATTTTCAAAGAAACAAACTGTTCCATAATTTTAACACTCAGCATTATCACTATTAAGCAAGAATTATCCCAAAAATACACGATGATCTTGTTCTCACATTCAAAACTTGATTGTCACACAGTGAAATAGCACTTAATGCAAAGGAATGTTTCTTTTCAGGTTTCTGCTCTGGAAAAAAAAAAAAAAGACTTCTGGCTAAGAGATAAACAATTATGTAACTATCCAAAATGCCTCCGAGAAAAATAATGTCATCAGTTAGTTCTTTAAAGTGTTACAAATGCAGCTGAGTTTTAATAGTAATTTGTTCACAATTATCAAAAGAATCTTTAAAAATCTTAATACTGAAAGAATAACCATTAATGGATATAAAACGCAAAGCAGAAGAGTTAATATTTGGGATAGATTTTGGCCCATATTTTTAACATATGCATAGTTATTTACCTAGCTGAAGTATATCCCTCTCCTCTTAGGCTCTTCAACAAGGCTGATTTTCAAACATAGACTGGCTTTTGGTACATGAAGGCAGCTTTAAAAGATGTCAGGATCGGGCCGGGCACAGTGGCTCAAGCCTGTAATCCCAGCATTTTAGGAGGCCAAGGTGGGCCGATCTCTTGAGGTAAGGAGTTCGAGACCAGCCTGGCCAATACGGCAAAACCCTTCCTGTATTAGAAATTTTTGTAATTAGCCAAGCGTGGTGGCACACACCTATAATCCCAGCTACTTGGGAGGCTGAGGCAGGGAGAACTGCTTGACACAGGAGGCAAAGGTTGCAGCGAGCCAAGATCGCACCACTGCACTCCAGCCTGGGTGACAAAGTGAGACTGTCTCAAACAAGCACTTAGACCTCAGAAAAAACTTGAGCATCCCCCGCCCCAATCAACCCAAGGAATCACATGGCAATGGTTATCATGTGATTTCGACACAAAAAAGTTCTGTTCTCTCTAAACACAATGGTAAACACTTGCCATCAGCCCACAGAAACTCCCAGGACCCAGTAACACCGGACTAGCAAGAATAACGGGCCACGTACGCAGTGTTCAGCTGCAGAAAGTGATGGCACCAAGAATGTGTGTGCGCTCACACCAGATTCCTCGCTTTGAGGGTGGAGGGTCTCCCCGGGAAGATCATCCAGCGGGATGGTTTCCACTTCCACCGTGAGGAGGAAACGGGGGTTTCCTGAGGGCACTGACAGGACTTGGGTCTCTGCCCTTGTCCTCTGTCCTGTTACGGGATGAGGGTGGGCTGAAGGCAGGTTCTCCCTACATCTTCCGGGCAGGAGAGATGGAGCTGACAGGTGGACGACGGCTTTTCCAAAATGTTCCCATGTTTATAACCTGTTATCGACCTGCTTTCCCTGGAGATCAGTGAAGCCGCATCATTGCTTCTCTTGCATTAGTGACAACCCGTTGGTACGGCCTCTGGGTCAGCCTCTGCGCGGGTCTGAGTCACTCACTTGTGCCTTGGCCTCAGCATGCTCGTCTGTCAAATGGGCGGCCCCACAGACCAGTGAATTTCAACCGGAGTTCCAAGGAGGTTGCCCAAGGACAGGCAGGGAGAAGAGGAGGAAGAAAGCTGTCCGAGGAAGTGGGGGAAGGGGAGGGCTGTCCAAGGGAAAGGGAGGGGCAGGGAGAGGAAGAGGAGCGTGGAGGGAGGAGCAGAAGCGGGGTTCTCTGAGGAAGAGGACCAAGTTGCTGAGGTGTCTTGGAATCAGAGGTGGCAGTGGCTTGGGCTCTAGGCCCTCTGTTACATAGTTTTAGGCTTTAACTATTTGTTATTTGTGGACCCTTTAAAAGATTTAATTTGAAGAAAACCGGAGTTGAGGATACCTTGCTTCTAAAACACAATTTCTCAGGCCTGAGACTAAGTGCTAGGCATTGCTCATTCTGTTACCGTCATTTCCTCCTATTTAAAATCAGCCGCACACCCCCAATCTCCCTTCAGTGTAAGCATCACCTTTTCAGACGATCTCAAACAGCAGAGTGAGCAGCCCGTGACCCCGGCCGTGTGCACGAGGAGCGAAGAGCAGACGTGCAGTGAGGGCTGCGGACAAGGGAGGCTGCGGACAAGGGAGGCCGAGGCCCAGCACCTCCCTGCACCGCTGTGCTCTGCCAGGCCTAAAGGACACCCTTGCCTCTGGGGTGAACAAGCAGCACAAGCTATCGACACTTATTCCAAAGGAACAGGAAGAAAATTCAAACGAAGTTAACACAGTTATCCCAACACAACACTGCAACAGCCCAGAAACAGAAGGGCCAGTGAGCCTGAGATGGGTGGTTCCCACAGCGGGACTGCAACGTTGGCATTAGGGCTTTTTGGCAAAAAAAAAAAAAAAAGACAAAAAAGGTAACATGGGCCACCCATTATTTCCTGCCAGTAGAAAGACACCCACAGGCCCCCAGATGCCAACAGGCCCCTGGAAATGAGCCCATGCAGTGCCTCGGGTCTTCGCACGAGCAGGCACGTGGTGTCCTCAGCACCCCCACCCGGGACACACACACACCACACTTGGCTCCCACACCTGAGGGTCCAGGGGAATGGCAGGAAGTCCCCGCAGGACAGGGCATCCTGTGAGGGCACTGCAGGGCTATGCACCTCAGAGAAGCCCCCGGGCAGGTGCTCTCTCCCCAAAGGATGAGCCAGTCCTGACCACACCCAGATCGCGGTGGCCTCCAAGCCAAGCGCCAACATCTCACGTCCAAAGGCATGCGCAGGTACCTGCTGTGCGTGGAGCCCAAGCCCCTCGCAGAGGTCAGGACGAAGCCAGTGTCTAGTCCCGGGGCCGTCACCAGCCAGGAGAGGCGTCCGGGGCCCTTCCCAGCAATGGCCATGGGAAGTAACAACTCAGGCCCATCAGGGGCTTCCTCACCATGCAGGTTTTAGAAGTGGAGACAGAGGTTCAGGTCTAGTGGCACAAACATCGACAGACCCCATGGAAATGCGGGCGCGACCCCTCCATCCCACCAGCCTTCATGGCTGCTCCTTTCTGCTCCCATCACACATGTCCCCACCCCGCCAAGCCCCTTCTCCTTTTCCACACTGGATTCATCAAATCAAATCTCGCTGTCCTTGGCAAATGTACCATTAATTTATTTACAAAAGCACACTTCCAGTTAACATGACACCCCCGCTATGATAGAACAGCCTTAATTCAGACATGACGTGGAGGAACAGAGGGAGGAGGGGTCGAGGGCCGCCCTGGAATCGGCAGCTGTTTTCTGGGGAAAGCCTCCATCCCACCCGAGCCCGACATCGTGCCACACTGTCCCCATGGTGTCCGAAAGCTCCATGAAGACGGGGTCACTCTGACCCCTTCGCACCCACAACTCCAAAGAGGAGCAGGTGTTCAGGAAAAGTCTCCTGCTAGTGCTGAAGACAAGAGTAATTCCTCGTGGTGCCCAGAATGTCAGGAGAAAACAAGGCACCATGTGGATGCCTTCCAGGTGAATTTTGGAATGATTCTACCGAATGCCAGTCATCCTTTTTCAGAACAAAATCCATACCAGAAAACTATGTCGCCAGCAGAGAGATGGTCCCTTTCACGGCTTACAAACACACCTACGTTACACTGAATTTATCTCAAGCCACCCTCTCTGTGCTAATGTAAAAGTGTCCCTTATTAACCAGTAGCCTTTCTCATCTGGTGTTTTTTAACAAGCAAGAGGATCCTGTAACACTCAGGCGTTGTCTGAAACGTCAAATGGAAGCCTAAAATCCTCTTCCGTGCAGCTTCACTGCAAAGTATTTTGACGTGAGCCAAATCGTGCTCTTCCTACACCTCCATAGGAAACTCAATGCTTCATCAAGGAGAGCAGCATGATTTCTGCTAGGCACAGAAACTGGAGGGGTGGGGATAGGGTTGAGGGAACATTACATAGAAAGCACACCCCGATAATCACCTGCATGAGAGCCACACTGGCCGGCAAGCCCCGGTCGGCTCAGTCTCTGCAGTCACAGGTGTGAGGCCTGGAGGGCAGACACCTGGCACTGCTGACCACCCAAGGTCATGGCTTCTGCCCCTTCTCTGCTGCCCATCAGTTCTAAGCTTCTGGCAACATTGCCTGCTGCCCTGCCTGACGACTCTTCATGAAAAGCAAATGTTGCCAGGATAGCTTATGAGTACATTTACCAGGAAAGCAGCTCTGATTGACGCTGAAACCCCCTTCTCACAGCCCTGGCAGCTCCCCTACCCCGATGTGTACATGCTTGCAGCTCTGACCTCGCTCAGTGTCCACATAGGCTCTGTCCCCTGGACAGCCCAATGCAGACTCAATGTTGAGTCAGAAATACACAAAGAGGCTGACGGTTATGAACCGCCTGCCTGTCCCCCAAAACACAGGTTGAAATCCTCACCCTCAGTGCGATGCTGTCAGGAGGTCTTTGGGAGGTGATGAGTTCCCGAGGCTGGAGCCCCATGAATGGAGTTTGTGCCTCAGACAAGGAGCCCAGCAAATCTGTCACCCTCCCACTGTGTCAGGGCCAGGAGAGGTGTGTGTGAACCAGGAAGGGGCCCACACCAGAACCCACCCGTACGGCACCCTGATCCCGCCTTCCAGCCTCTAAAACTACGAGAAACAAATTTCTGTTGTTCATAAGCCACTCAGTCAATGGTGTTTCGTTGCAGCAGCCTGAGCTGCCTGAGGTGACAATGCTCACCGTCCTATAGAGACGGCTACTCCCTCTCCCAGAAAGAGGGGTTTAATTAAAATCCCTGTCTCTCCTCGCTGCCACCACAGATCTCATTCCCCCACCCCGTAAGCCAGCAGATGCTACGATTAAAGGAAAAGGAGGATCGTTTTAGACCAGCCCCTCCATGTCGGTCTGAAGCATTTGACTTTGTCCACTTCCACGGTGGCCGTGTCACCAGATTCCCCATGCCAGCTCTGCATCTGTACCGGGTCCCAGGCTCTGCACAGACTTCTCCAGTTGCCCATCCAGCACACCTATTTCCCCTTCTCCTTTGCAGATTGTCCTTCAATCCGCAATCTTCTGGTTGCCTCTCTACAACCCAAGGCCTTCCAATCCAGCCATTCAAGGTGAGCTCAGCCGTGCACTGGAGTCCTTGGCTCAGGTAACCCAGACCCAAGCCATTGGCACCAACCACCTACTGGCTGTGGGGTCTGCACAGCCACCAGCTGCCCCAGCCACACCAGGGCCTGGGAGGGGAGGCAGAGGAAGCTGTGAAGCTGCCAACAGCCGTGCGGGGACAGGAGCCTCTGGGATGAGGATGCCATGGAAGGAAATTCAGAGAAAGGGCCCCAGGGCTGGACGGGTCATGTCCAAAGTCTGCACTGCTGAGTTTTTGAGGTTTCTGAACTCAATCGCTGACCCCCCGTGGCGTTGGATACCGCAATAAAGCAAGACCCTCACCCCCACCCTCCCCCCACCACATACACGGGGCCTCTGTCCTGGCGGGAGGTCAGGCCTGGGCGCCCAGCTGGCACAGCCAGCCTGGGAAGGAGGCCATTTCAGACGGCACGCCTGAGCTCATTAGGGACAGACACTGTCGCCTGCTTATCTCCAACATTTTCTCTGCACGTCTAGTTACAAACGGACGACACAGTCTCGGAAGCACAGATCCCAGGCCTCCCCATGCTCCTCTCCTTGGTGCCATTGACAGGGAGGGGCCCGTATGGCCGCGAGGCCGCACACCCACAGCCACACTGCCGCTGAGAGGCGGGCCTTTGACGGTTACTTCTGCCAAAGAACCCTACTCCATCTTGGAGCACACCATGGCGGGAGGGAAGCTCCACCCGGAGAAACAGCGATGCTTCTCCCCAGGGCAATGGAGGGCACCCCCCACCCTGCATTCAGCAGCTTACTTACCTTCTGGAAAACATCTGAATTAATGGGGAACACTAAAACGAAAAGGTCACGCAAGAAAGTTTAGCAGGCCCTGTGAAGTCTCAGCAAGTCCAAAGGTTTCTGAACCAAGACTGCTGGGGTCGACGAGCTTACAGGGAAAGTTTCCACACGGGCCTTCAACAAGCAACGCTCAGCAGAGAGCGCCACGCTCTGGGCAGAACCTCTGACACCACAAAGTCACATCAGAGCCAACAGCAACTGAAATACAGCGCTCTCCTAAGATGTGTGCGTTACCTGCAGGAAGTCACTAGACACTAAGATGGGGGAAGAAAAGGATAAGATTAAAAACAAATTTAAAGTAATTTCTGCATACAAAAAAAAATTCTATATCCACTGGCTTCCTTTCTGGGAGTAGTAACTTTTACATGAGATGCACATCCCAGTTGGAAGGAGTCTGGGTTTTCCATGGGCAGAGACAAGGGCTCTCCAGGAAATGTGAACCCTTTCTCACTGAGCCGCGTTCCCTGAGGCCATCCTGACCTGTCTGAGCACCTCCCTGCTCTGCCTCCAGCCAGCTCCTTCCAGCACTCACCCCGCTGCTCCCAGAGCCTACACTTGCCCAGGATCTACTCTTCTGCTGCTGTCAATCTTCTCCTGCCAAACTTTCACGTTAGGGTAAATAAGTTGGAAACTAAAAAGTTGTAAGACCCCTTGGTTTTTTAAAAATTTGTCTTCTCAGAAAACAAAGAACACTAATTCTACTTCCATGGTTTAATATGTTGCCCCCATCTGCATGCTCATGGATATGTGCTTATATATATATTTTAATCAAAACTTATAATACTGTTGGCTACATTCAGTTTAATTACATTTGAGGTAAGAAGTCTTAAATTCAGTGAATTCAGGCACTCAAAATTTAAGCCCTCTGACATCTATTATCCAAATGGAAATATGAGAGGTAGGTATTACAAAAATCAAGAGAAGTGTTTAATATAAATCCTGGACTTTTAGATATTTCCAGAAATGTAACGTATATATTAGTACACAAACTTGAACATTTTCACAAACCTTTGAACTCAAAATTCCATTCTTAACTTTTACAGGTAAATCAATATCCATGTGTGATTTTAAGCAGCTCAAGCATCAGCTCTTAAAAACCACCAGAAATGCTGGGGGCAAATTCCACCGAGCAGCAAATAATGAACTGCACCCAACAACCCAGGTACCTCCCCCTGAGGCATCTGGAACATGAGAATTAGGAGCAGTCTTTGGTTCCTGAGGTGCCCGAAAGTGGGGACTCCCGACTCCCCAAGTCTAAGAAGGCCTCAGTGATAAGGAAAACTAGCCAAAAAAAAAAAAAAAAAATCATCCATGCCGGCTCCCTGCCATGGGCTCCTCCCTGCCACGGGCTTACAGATCTCACTTCCTCTCCGCCCCCCAAAGCCTGACTCCTGGTCCCAGCCCTGCTGCTCACTGGGGTGAGGCTGTGGGTGTCACTGCACCTGTAAGGGGAGAAGCTGGTCAGGATACAGGATCCTGGCTATCCTGCCAGTGCTCAAGCTGATACTGTAACTTTG